GATGGGGTATATAACATGGGGTAGGATAGGTTAGTGGTTTAGGTATCTGGCTTCGAAGCCAGAGGTTGGGAGTTCGATTCTCTACTGTGGAAAAGAGCCAGCCTGGGTAGCCTTGGGCAAGCTGCGCCGTCCTAGAATACCACCAGAAGAAGGGAAAGATAAAGCACTTCTGAGTACTCTCTACATGGAAAACCCAGAAAAGTCAGAATTGACGTGATAGCACGTGATGATGATTATGATGATTATTATATAACATGGAGACAGAGGCATGATAGAAGCTGGTTGCTAGTTCCAAATTCCTTTTCTGCACCAAAGTTTCAGTCGTCTTCTGATTACTTGACTGGGGTCTACCTTTGCAAAACCACCAAAAGTTGCATTCTGTGTGCGAGATTGCATAATTCAACTGTCCTTGTTGCAGAATTTATTAGACCACTCGGTTCTTAACCTATCGGTGTCCAGATGTTTTTGGATTACCCATCCCAGAATCCTTTCCATTGACCATGCCAGCTGGGGCTTTTGGGGGTTGTAGTCCAACATGGGCATAGACCAGTGGTTCCTGGCCTTGGGTAACCCAGGTGCTCTTGGACTGCAACTCCCAGAAATCCCAGCCAGCACAGCTAGTGATGAAAAGGCTTCTGGGAGTTGCAGTCCAGGAACACATGGGTTATCCAAGGCTGGGATAAATTGGCATAGTCTGTACACAGCGCAAAGCATTACACGCAAACGTTGCTTGTTTAAAAAAAAACCCACAAAGTATGCTTTCTGTGTGAGCTTTGTAGTAGATTTCTTTAGTCATATCAGAGTGTTGCACAATTTAAAATTGTGGATGTATATGAAATAAAACAAAATTAAAAAAAGATAATTAGACCTTTTATTTTTTTACCAGAAGTGGACTATTTTAACATAAAAAAACAAATTAAAGTGTTAAGATAATTAGACCTTTTATTTTTTTTACCAGAAGTGGACTATTTTAACAGCATTCTCTGAGCCATTTGCTAGATCTTCTTTTGTACAGGTGGTGGGGCATCAGTTGCATGCCTATTAAGTGCTGCATGGATTGAATTCCTCCACAGTCCCAGAAAAGTTCTCCTCGATCCAAGTAGCCCTATTTTACTTGATTTCTCTATGATCTTCTGTTATGACTCAATAGGACTTGAGTCATATTTTGCTGTAGTCTCTTCTTACCCTGCTCCATCCATCTTCTGACTTGCTTCTTTTCCCCCTAAACTCTGCCCACCCAAGTTTCCAGCACTCCGAGCTCCCCGGCTCCTCTGCGGAAAACCAGCAGCGCCCTCAGCCTGTTGGAAGCCCAGCAGGTACACTTCCACCGCCGCAGGTTGAGTTCGCGCATGCCAGCGGTGAATTCTCCAGGGGCTGGTGAGGGAGAAGAGCAAGACACACCCCGCCAGCGCTTCCGCCAGCGCCGACTTGGTATGTTGGGAAGTTCCCGCGAAGAAGCTGTGATCACTGCCGTGGAGTGGGAAATCACGAACCAGAAGAGAGGTGAGTAGACTGGAGGAAAGGCAGAAATTCAAGGTTCTCCAGCAGGTGGAGTTCTCTTAGAGGTAGCAATGTTGTATCTAGGCAATGATGTTTTTCTTTACTTTAAAGCACTGAGCAGAGATTTGAACCCAGTCCACCTGAGCCATAGTCTCTCACTCTATCTACTGGGAAGAAAAGGGGAGATGGAAATGTAACAAACAACTATATCTTTCATGCTTATCTGAACTACACCTTGATGGTTTTAAGTTGACTGGATAGCAATGATATTTTTCTTTACTTTTTAAGCACTGAGCAGGGATTCGAATCCAGTCCACCTGAGCCATAGTCTATCACTCTGTCCACTACTGGGAAGAAAAGGGGAGATAGAAATGTAACAAACAACTGTATCTTTCCTGCTTATCTGAAATACACCTTGATGGTTTTAAGTTGACTGGATAGCTCAATGGTTTAGCCAGAGGCTGGGAGTTCGATTCCCCCACTGTGCCTCCTGTGAGTGGAGCCAGCCTGGGCAGCCTTGGGCAAGCTGCACAATCCCAGGGCTCCTCCTAGAGGAAAGAAAGGGTCTTCTCTCCCTGGGAAACCCTGAAAAGGGCCGTCATAAGTCAGAACGGACTTGACAGCACATTATTATTATTATTATTCAATCACTTCTGAGTCTTCTCTCCTTGTGAAACCCTGAAAAGGGCGGTCATAAGTCAGAACGGACTTGACAGCACATTATTATTATTAGTAGTAGTACAAACTTGTAATGCCAAGGCATTTTGGAATAATTAAGATCAAAATGGTTCTATTGTTGTTTTTAAGTTGCCATATTTTTTTTTCTTCTAGGGCCCCCACTGGGTGAAGAAGAGCAGAATCCAAAGTCTCCCCCGTAACGTTTGGGAAGGATTGTCCCTCTCAGGGCTTCCTACTATGGACTTTTTGTCAACATCGCTTTGCAAAGATGGCGAGGTGTCCTTCCCGTCTTCTCTCCCTCCCTTTCCACACATACCCAGGCTTGATTTTCCGAATTGGCGTCAATCGCGGGTGGACTGCTCCTGATCAGGGAGGCTCTGCTTAGCTCGCATAGCAGCTCACAGCCAAGGGCAGGCTTTCCTTTTGCAAAGTTTGCATCCCTTTTTGATGCCATGGAAACCATGGGCTTGTCACCCCATAACTGCTAGCACCAAATGAAAAAGGTTGAGGGAATCTTCCTCTCTTCTTTTTAGTGCACCTTAGCTGGGGCATAGCTAAGAAGCAATTATACACACCCTCGTTCTTTTTACACCGATTTTTCCCCCTGTGGCTACCTCGTACAAAACAGGGAACGGCTTGCAGGCAGGCAAACAAACTACTCTAAATTGTTCGGTTTTTGAACTGGGATGTCTGTAGTGAAGAGTGGTTTAATTCGGTGGCCACTTACCCATTCAGAGAAGTGGATCATCATCCTATCTAACCCCAGCCACCCCATTCCTGCCTTCCTTCTGCTCTAAAACAGTGGTTTCCAACCTGTGGGGTCCCCCCCGATGTTCTTGGACTACAACTCCCAGAAGCCTTCACCTCTACCTCTGCCAGCCAGGATTTCAGGTTGTTGCAGTCCAAGAACATCTGGATTACCCAAGGTGGGGAACCATCCATCGCTCCAGGTTAAGCCACCGTCTCCCAAAGATGGGAGACCTCGTAAAAAAAGTCGCTGGTTTTCCTTGTCCTGCCTTTCGCGGGATTTTGTGAGCAGTACCGTAATTCCAGTATTTGTAATAAAATGTTTATGATTATTTATCAATATAATTGTGGTTTTTTGGGGGGAAGGGGGGTCCCCAAAGCAGCAGAAAGACCTGGCCCTGAGTTTGCATCCATGAAACTCCGAATGGGCACTCTGCAGTTGTGTAAACACAGGTGCCTGGCACAGTACGACGGGCAACAGGGCTTGTTTAGCGCATCGTCCGTTCCACTCTGTTTCTTGTGCATCCAACCAGGGAAGTCCAAAAGCTGATTTATTCATGGCCTAGTGCCCGCTTTTCTCCGTTGCCGGTACAAACACTTATTTCCTGTTTCAAGAATTAGAGACTATAGCAAATTATTTCTAATTACTGTACTTTTCTTCTGTATCCATTCCAGCCTGCATGGTGCATGTGTGTATGTGTGTTGCAAGCGGATATACATTTTGCTGAGTGATAAACGACCTCACATCTTTCTTTTTAACTAAATTCTGGTCCAGGGATCACCTCCTGCGATATTTGCGTCTCATCGGTTGCCTTAGCTCTGGATTCGAGGGGCAACGGAAAACTTGGCCACCTGTTGAAGCAGCTTGCAGAACATTTCTTGGCTGCAATGTTTTCACGTCTGCACTGTTTTAGAGAACATTTAATGCTGTTTTGGGTTTTTTAAAAAAATGTATTTAAGCAAGCCAAAACTCAATTAAAATGCTGTTTGATGATGCCTTAAAACAACAGACTGGAATAGTTAACCTTTCTGGGTTTGAAACTCAGTTGCCCCCCAAATTTCTGTGAATCGCTGGGTAGGAAAATAACCTAGCAGCTGAGGTCTAGCAAAGATGATCTTGCCTGAAGCTAATTATTAACAAGCAAAGGGAATTGTTGTGAGGAGTTCAGCTCTGTTCAAGTTTAATTGTAGTCTCTTAATAAAGAATAACATACCTTAGGGAAACTTTTGCCTTATTACCTTGGTTTAAGAAAGGCCTCTGGATATTTTTAAAATAAGATCCTGTCATAATCACACTGCACAATGGGATTAATTTATTTTTTTTCAAATGCTTGTTTTCAAATGCTTGGAATGAGGAGAGTGGCTGTTAAATGGTTTTTTTAAAAAAACATGCTTGACACACTGTTATAGAAGGGCTCGTATTTCTCCTGTGACTATGAAGTTAAGTCTCTTAAAAGTCCGGTGGTCTTAAAAATCTGGTGGTTTTAAGTGGCTGGCAGAAATGTTCAAGCAGGTTTCGAAAGGGATGGGCCAACATATTGCATCTTGAAAAACTTTTAAGAGTAGGTGTATTTGAATGGGTCAGGCCGACTAAGGTGATATGGGTGTGGAGAATCCTGTTGTTATCACCGGCAAGGTAAATGAAAATTCAACAGCCAGTTGGATCGACTGGAAGCAAAGGTGGGGGATCTGTTAAATCCTTGGCCTCAGGCAGCAATGTGCCTCGGGAGGCGCATAGATCCACATACCCTGAAAAACCAACAAATGCAACAGGCTTCCCAGGTGTGCTTTTTAAAATAAAGCATACCGTTTTGGGAGGGGGGGAGAGAATGTGCCATTTGAAAATATATATATTTACATTTGGAAACTGAAGGAGATCAACTCAAAGGGGCTCTGTGGCTGTTAACAGGGAGGCATCAAAACTGATCTGCCATTTTCCAGATGCCCTATTTTTTTCCCCTCCCAGCCTGTCCATTTTGAAAGGAAGGAAGAAATTGGGAGAGAGGGGTTATCCTAATTCCCTCTCCCCTTCTCCACCTCCCGGAGAATCATCCTCCTGAGATGCTGCCTTTCTCTTCTCCTGGTGCAAAGAGCACCCCATTCCACCCATTTATTTATTTACTTATTTAAAATATTTCTACCCCGCCTTTCTCCTCACAAAAAAGGACCCAAGGCGGCTTTCCATCCATATTTAAACCTCGAACCCACGGGGGCTCAAAAAAAAAGGCGGTTTCCCTCATGAGGACCCGACGCTGAAGGGAGACAAGGGGCTCCTGGGCATAACCGGAGCTCCTCAGCCACCCCCCCCAAAAAAATATCCACCCATTTATTTATTTACTTATTTAAAATATTTCTACCCCGCCTTTCTCCTCACAAAAAAGGACCCAAGGCGACTTTCCACATTTAAACTTCGAACCCACGGTTTCCCTCAGGAGGAGCCGACGCTGAAGGGAGGAGACAAGGGGCTCCTGGGCATACCCGGAGCTCCTCAGCCGCCACCCCCCCCCAAAAAAATATCCACTCATTTATTTATTTACTTATTTAAAATATTTCTACCCCGCCTTTCTCCTCACAAAAAAAAAGGAACCAAGGCGGCTTTCCCATCCGCATTTAAGCCTCAAACCCACGGGGCTAAAAAAAAAAAAGGCGGCTTCCCTCATGAAGGGAGACAAGGGGCTCCTCCAGCACCCACCCCCCAACTATCCCCTCAGGTGCCCGGCGCTGCCCAAGGGCGGGACGGCCGGCGACCCCTTTGCCCC